AGCAAAGTCACATGGTGATGCAGTCGAACCATTAGTTTTTATCCCAGACGTAGGGACTTGGGAGCCCATCTTCTCAAGTTCGAGATCGCCAAAGAAATCCTTGATCAGGTCATGCCTGCATCGTGTGGTATTCTCACAGTAGCTGATCACTTTCTGAAAGCTCGCTAGTCGGGCAAGCTGATTTTGAACGGTGGTTTGTGCCTTGCTGTTCTGGTTGCTCATATGCGCACCAGTGCGATTGCGAGCGTTCTCAATGTCTCGTTGCAGACGATCAAGAATTCTGTCTCGCTCTTGTGTGTTGTAGTAGACAATGGATGCGGCAGCATGACCGTCGCGACCTGCACGACCGGATTCTTGAACGAAGCCTTCGAAGCTCCGTGGCGGACTCCAATGAACAACGAAGCGGACGTGTGGGCTATCGATGCCCATGCCGAATGCAGTAGTAGCGACTATGATGTAAAATGCCGGGTGTTCCGGTGATTCGTTCTTATTGTTTGCATGCCGAGGGAACGTCTTAGACGATGTCCATTCGGACTGAATGCGCGTACGGTCTTCGGAGGATAGGCCAGCGTGGTAAGCCACAGCATGGATACGGCCAGGCCAGCTTGCTGAGAGAGCAGGGGCGAGTTTGTCAGATACGGTCCTGAGAGGCACATAGATAATCCCGGATATCGGGGGAAGCGTGGCGGGTGCAGTGCCAGTGACGGCCTCTCTGCGGGCCTGGACAGACTGGAGCCATGAGACGAGGTTGTGAATCTGAAAGTTTTCTGGCTCTGTGGGGTCGCTTGCAAAATCGTCGAGGTACCTTATCTCGTAATGTATGTTTGGACGCGCAGAAGGAGTGTTGAAGATCTTCAGCTTGGAAGTGTCTAATCCAAGAAGTTTGATGATATCTTCCCGAACACGAGGCGTTGCAGTCGCCGTAAGCGCACTAATTGGAACCGGCGGATTCGTCAAAACTTGCTTGAACCAGCCCAGTTCTTTGTACGCCGGCCGAAAGTCATGACCCCATTCACTGATGCAATGCGCTTCGTCGATGGCAACACGAATTAGCTCTCCCTGACGGTGAATAGTCTGTAGATTGCGTCGAAAGCCTTCTGTTTGACAGAGTTCTGGTGTCACGTAGAGAAGCCGGGTCTTTGGATGACCCGATAGGAGGTCGTCCAGGATTATACGCCTCTCAGCAATCGGAGTCGTGGAATTGATTGTTGCTACCGCAATCCCTAAAGCTTGAAGTGCCTTTACTTGGTCGGTCTGCACGAGATATTAGTACCCCTCGAGAGTGGATGTTTCTCAGGCTGACCATCAAAGCAAGCAAAGGACTGATCACTACGGTCACTAAGGATATTATCAGATGCATTCCAAAAGACGAAAATGTTCAAAAGGTCGACGCAGGTGGACCTACCGCCATGGCTTATTACTGCAGGTAGTTGGAAGCACAGGCTTTTCCCGAATGAAGTGTTTGCCTGCAGAAACACATCATGGCCGTTGATGGCCGCCGTGATTACTTCACGCTGAAGAGGACTACACAATGATATGTATTAAGTCCAGTTACTCTAGTAGGAACTGGGTGACAGCATGAACATACCGAAAGGACTTCTTCCGGAAAACTCGGCGGAGGTAGAAGTCTATATCCACATTGCGACGTTTCGAATTCCCACTTCCCATTTCTGCAGCATTGTTAGAAGCACAACAGATGACTGCACAGGCTGGGAGGATTCCCCAGAATCGAGATTTGAAGCATCGGCTGGATGACGCGACGCGGGGAAGGTACGATACGCGATGCCACGTGATATCGATAGAGACCCTAATCGGGAAGGCAGATGGGATTGTGATTCAGTGAGAGCATCTCTCCATTGCCAATTGTTGCTTCTGCCATGGATCTATACCACCGCTTGATCTGTTAACCTGGAATGCGTTTCTACGCCCAATTCCTGAATTCATTACTGATGATATATCATTTGAAAAACTAATAACACACGAGCTTGTTCGCTGTACAGGATAACAAGCGACAGCAATTAGCTGTTGCCGTCGAAAAACCGCTATCAGGCTTCAACCTGAGGGTATATACTACTATAACAGGTCTATAATGTACATGCATCACCGTCCCACACCTAAACCTCCATCATTGGCTAATATCGCCTTTGGAGTCTGTTCATCTGCCTCTCTAGCTCCTCCTTGGCAGCCAGGACGTCCAGCGCCTTGCGCTTCTCCGGCTGCCAGATCCGTATAATCTGCAGCCAGACCTTCATAAGCTCCTCTGGTCCGCAGCATGCGCCGAATGCGCGGAGAATAATAATGACCATTCGGCGACCAAGAAAGACGCCATTCTCTATCCGGCGTTCGATTTCTTCCGAATCTCGCGGCTCATTTTGCAGCTCATTTTGCAGGTCCTGAGCTTGCTGTCGAAACAATTCGTCAACATCGATGTCTTCTTCGAGAGCAGCCATGCCTTCACTGGCATGGGAGACACCTCTGCGCTCGTCGTACTGGCCCATCGCCTTCTGTTCCTCGTTTCGAGCCTCGCCCCACTCCTTGGCATCGGTGCCAGCAAAAGGCAATGGAGTATACAGGCCGCTTGGCTTTCGCGAAATTGTTGGCCAGCCTATCTCAATCGCGGCGGGGGCCTTTAACACCGGGATCTCTGTGATGTGCTTTCCACTTTGGCTGCGGTACATTTCAATGAGTCTCGTCCTTGACTCGTAGAGAGCACGCAGATAGGTTCTCCAAGCTACACGTAGCCGTTCAGCCGTCCAGCCTTTCTTGTTGCGCCCGTTGCGAGCGAATCCGTCAAAAAGCAGGAGGTATATCATACCACGCGGCGGAACCACGAAGACTTTCTCCATGTCTGCAAGGACAGACATGAAAGCATGAATATCAGCGGTTTTGTAAGCGTGCAATGAAAGAAATATGTGGAATGTCCGAGTGTCAGGGATTGCGTGAAGCGATTGCTGAAGCGCGCGATGGTGTTCAGGCATGATTTCTTTCAGTGAAGTGGATTCTTGCAGGACTCGACCCAGCTTCTTCACTCGGCTCCGATAGAGGTTCATCTCCGATGTGAGATGCGGTGTTTTTGAATGCTTCGACTCGATGCTTAGTTCCCCTGTCTCTTGGGACTTTGCTTGGGCCTCAAGCATCTCTGCATATATCTGCTTCGCTGAGTCCACATCCCCGGCGCGAATGAATGACGCCATTAGGCAGTTCATTACAACCGTGTCAACAATCTCACCACTCGATACAAACTCGTTAAATGTCTCTTGGATTCCAGCAACATCCTCTTGCATACCATAATAGTAGAGCTTGGAGACCTTTCCAAAGCGCCGGAACTCAATATTACGCTTCTTCATTTCCTCCAATAGTCGTTCCGCGACGGTGAATTGATTCGCTTTGATGGCAATATCGAAGAGGATGGTGAACACGACGTCATCGGACTTCACACGCGCCAGATATTCCATTTGTTTCCATGATCCAATAGCCCTCACCACATCTTGCTTGCGTACCTTCCCAGACGCCCGTCCTGCAAGGTGTATAGCAGAACTCCAGAGTGAGCGGGATATGGGCAGCTTCGCAGCGACCATGTCTTCTATCAACGCAAGGTAACGACGAGCATCCACCCAACGACGGTCTGGAGGATCGGCAAATCGACGTAGGAGTGCTCCTCGGGAGCGTTTGGACAGGTAAGCAACCCCGGGGGAGGGAAGATCTCTGTAGAGTCGAAACACGTAATGGTTTGAAATCCTCTCATTCCACATAGCGTCCAAGAATACCTCGACCGTTTTGTATTCCAAAGCGTCCCGCGACTTGTCTACCGCCGGAAATACCTCGTTTGAGGGTGGTCCCTTCTGTGTCTCGTTTGCAACAAGATCAACTGCCTGTTTCCAGTTGAGTGAATTGCCAAAGGCAGCTCGATATAATTGTGAAGTCGATGTATATGCTTTCCTGCTTGGACTTGTTCTTTTGTGATGGCGATATTTCTCCGACTTGCTCGACGAATCCGGTAAGCGGCCAATCCTATCCTCATCAGGGGCGTTGTCGCTCGCAGTCAAGTTATCTTCGCTAGTTGACTCTGCGTCCGCTGTTGGTAGCTCGCTGTTCAACTTCTCCAGATCTGTTTCTCGTAATCCTCCATGTGACTGTAATGTTGATTCTGTGCCCGCGCCTTGGTAGCGAGCTTCGAATGAAGATCCCGCTGACGGGTTGTTCGCAAAGCAGTTCCCTTCACCATCCTCATCTTCTACTCTCAACGCAACACCGGAATTAATCATGCGTTGTGCGCTTGAACGATGCAGACTACCTGTCGATGTGCCTAGACAGTCCAGGCGATGTTTCGACGACAATTGCCTGCGGTGTGTCAACCCCCGATCCTGCCATCGAGCGACGTTATTCCCTGGATTCTTCATGGAGACCGTAGAGATTCCCCTAGCTCGAGGGGTGTGCTCATGGCAGTAACCTGCCATGACCAGGGAGCTGACGAAAAGGTCTGCTAACGACGCCGCGGTAGGGCGGGCACGTCTGGAACTGAGTCGTCTGAAGGAGGCATTGTAGGAGAACGGTTCGGAGTTTGACATCGAAGTGTGACGGGTGGGGAGACTCGTATCCAACCGCTGCGAGGGGAGAAGTCGCAGGTCGGTCGAGTTCTGGTACCTATTGGGAGGAGGCATGAGATGGCAGACATCGTGGCATTGGATCAGCCCTGCATGTCCCGAGGAAATCTCGAGCAGCTTGAAGGGAAACGGCCCGAGAGCTCTTCAAGCGTGGCAGGAGGCAGTTGAAAAAGAAAACGCGGACAAGGACGAGGAACGTCCCAAAGGGCAGAGAGGGGGGAGGAGGAGGAGGGCGTAGGAAGCAGTAGATAGACAGCGAGGTTGAGCTCTGGGTCAAATTATTATTATGGGCTTTGGCCTTCGCTCTGGCTTTGCACCGGGCGGAGCCGGCGACGGGCCAATCGGAGCCGCGCATTGCCAATCCTCTTTTTTGCACCTGCGCAGGTATCTGGAACACCAAACTCCCGGACCTTCCCTGCCCATGATCTTGTCTCCCGAACACCTGGGTCCAGGCCAGACGTCGTCATATCTTTGAGTTTGGTCAATTAATCATCCCGCCGGCCTTTTGCTTCATCCCTCTGTCGGTTTTGTTGCTCTCCGGATCTGTCCTTTCCTCCCCGCTGATTCTGCACGGCCTTCTGGCTGCCGCGTCCAACTCACGATGGGCAAATATAACCTCACGGCCCTCCGGGTTCGCCAAATCGCTGTGGCACAGCAATCCGCCGGCAAACTTCGTCAAACACCCAAATGGCTTGATATAATGCACGATGTCCCCCCCACTGAGGTCCTGGTGCGGAATCGACCTCAACAACACCAATTGGTTCGCCAGCGCCTGAAGACTGTTCCTGGCGCATCGAGGCCGCAGGCCGTCTTCGAAGTCCAGGAGAAACGCATCAAGCCGAAGAAGGCAAGCCGCATGTTCCAGCCTGTCGAAATCAAATACGAGGAGGATCAACTGCGCAAGGAATTTTTCCGCGACCATCCTTGGGAGCTTGCCCGACCCCGTGTGCTTGTCGAAAAGTCCGGCAAGGACTTTGAGAGATATAACTGGAGCCGGCTCCAGCAGCGGGGAAAGCACTTGGATGGTGAGAGGTACGTCTAGTGTCCTCGATCTGTAGGCGGGAGGATCTCGCCAATAATTAGATATTTGATGCTAACTCCCCCGGTTTCCGGTGAAATAGCGTTGTTCAGCGACAGCTTTGGCTCCTTAATAATGTCCCCGATATGACCAAGAGCGCCGCTTACGATATTGCACGCCGCGAGTTCTACCGTCTCCGTCTACAGGAAGACATTGAACGACGTGTTGCTGCTGAGGAAGCCGAAGCTACTGGTGCTGTGTTTGGACCGACACGTCTACAGATCGGTATGGACCTCGAGAACAAGGAGTATGAGCGTTGGAAGGAATGGGCCAAGTTGCAGGCCCAGCTTTCGGACCAGAGAATGGCTGCGTTCCTTGGGGCTCCGGAAGTCCAAGCTGCTGAGGAGCAAGAGACGAGCTTGGATGATGACGCCACGGAAAAGGTTGCGGTAGCAGCCTGAAGGCGGGAGTTGTTACTTTTTGAGGGTTTTAGTATTGTCAACCCCGGATGAGGCGGGTTTTGCCAGACTCTCTAATGGCTTATGTACACTACTGGACTGTCGATATGTTTTCTTTTCTTCTTGAGTCGCTCTGTTTTACTTTTATGCTTTTCTCTATATCCTTTCTTGCTGTGAATAAGAGTTTTGGGTCACGTATAAATTGTCCTTTTCAGCTGTGTTGGTCAGGTCAAGTGGACAAGGGGGGTGCACGCATGGATAGCAGGCAGTAGAGCTAACATATCGACTATACATCTGTAGCCGAAGAGTGATTTGGAACCACAAAACAGCGCTGTGAGGCAATGACCATCTGGAACATGAAAGTCGGAAGACAGTTCGTGAGCAGGCGAACCTCAAACAATAGTGGTGTTTCAAGTGTGTCTGCCGGGTGTCCCCTGAGCCAATCATTGCGGCGGACTTATCGCGCCCGAACCCCCAGAAAGTTATCGACCAGGCGTTTCTCCGATTCAACCCTCTTGTCAGTCGGCTTGCTCGACCTGCAAGAGACTGCTGGCCATCTTATCCATTGGAATCTGCTTGCATCTCATCGACAGAGAGTGTTCTTACGAATCTGAGATTCCGTTCTGCTGCATGTTCGGATAATCTGCCGGGCAGTGGTTCTCGTCTGACAGCTGCACCTCTTCGCGTTTCACTGATCAACTTAACGCCGGCTTGCTCTGAACCCCGACCGCATCCTTTGGCACAAAAGTCGACTGCCAGTGTGATCGAGCCCTTCAATACAACCTGTCAAATCGATAGCTCAACCCGCGATCGCTCAGAGTTTCATCCAACGATCCCTCCCTGCCTCCGTACTCTCATTAGAACCCGAGCGGGTCTTCGTACGTTTGAAGCCCAACCGAAGCTCTCTGAGCCAGCCTCGCGCCGCAGTCGAACCTGGGTCTTCACAACCACATGCCTTTCGCTTTTGTACAGCATTGACGTATATTTTGTTTGGGCTTTACGGTTACGTCGCTATTGCAGCGCCTGTTGATCATGCTTCGTTCCGGTCTCAATGCACGTCTTGGAGACTCTCTGACCGGATCAATTGTCCGATATTCGAATACATTGGAAATTTGACCAGTGTCAAACACAGCCGCTAGAATAGCTTCTTTCTCATATTTTCAACCATGCTTTCTACAATGGTCCGCCCGGAGGACGCCATCAGGATGCCTCGTTCATACCGAAGCGACGTGGATGAGGAGGATACTAGCAGGCGAACTCCGGAACAGAACACCCTCTCCTCTTCGTCCTCCTCTTCTAACAATGACGCGGCGGCAAAAAGCGAGGACGAGGTTACACTGGTGAACGGGTCTGCTGGTGATGGTCGCAGCAGTAGCCTAGGGAAACATCAGACGGGTCCCCGTCTTTTGTCACCCGACGAAACGATTGAATTGGCGCGGCGAGCAGTGGAAAACGGCATCCAAGAGACCAAACGCTCCCTAGCAGGCAGTGAGGCAGTCAGCGATGTGGTGAAGCCAAAATTGACCATTGACTTGGGCCATTCCAACATTGTCCGTATACCCGAAGCGGTAGTTGACATCATCAAAGATGAAGTTGAACGGTGTGTAATACGGAATATAAAAGCCCACAGTTGAGTTTAGAGAGTAACTAACGCCCTGCAGCCTCTCGCTATCGAATAATCACCTTTTCCATATACCCTACCGGTTCGCAGAATGTTCCCATCTTCGGTATCTCAATATTCGAGCGAATAGTTTTCGAGAATTTCCCAAGGGGGTGAGTGTCATGTTACTTGTCTTACCTACAGAGTGATTCTGGGGATTCTAACAGGAAATTTAGGTATACAAATTGCCGCTTCTTGAAATCTTAGACATCAGCCGCAATAAGATCGGCCACCTCCCGGAGGAAATCAAGAAATTGTCCTCGCTCCGGGTCCTATCGGTAATGCAGAACCGCCTTGATGATTTGCCTCTGGGGATCTCCGACATGAACAAACTTCAAATTCTTAAAGTAGCCGGGAACCCCTTGCGGGGCCCCCTGCGACGGCTTCTCGAGACGTCTGAGACAGAGTTCGCCCCCTCGACAATGACGGATAATGAGAAGGAGGTCGCGGTTACTGCCGAGCTGAAGCGGTTCTTGAAAACCAAACAGCCTGTTACGACTCTGGAAGTCGAGAGGAACGAGCTCAGGTATGGACTGAACCTGTCATCTGGAAGCAACTGACTAACACCGACATATCCAGCGAGGGCATGTTGGACACCCCTAAACCCGTCAAACGCGGAGTGAGCAGTCGGTTTCCGGTGATCCCCAGCACCGGTGATCTTTCTTCCGACCCAAAGTCACCGTCCTTGTCTCGTCCTCCGCCCATACCTCTCAAATCGCACTATCGCATTGCTTCGGGACAGCATTCGGTCTTCCAGGGCGGTTTTCTCCCACGTTCCGGCGCTAGGCCTCTCGCTGGAGTCAATGAACGCAACCGGAGCAACAGTGAAGGAATCATCCAGGCCTCTCTGGCCGCGCGTAACAAGCGGATGGGAGTTATCCGGAAGAATACCGACTTAGGGACGTTGGACGAGACCCGGCCGTATCGGAACAGTCATTTACGGGGTTTGAGTTATGGCTCTATCCTTCGCACTCGGCCCATTGCAGCCGTGTGCAACAGTAACTCTTCGAGCCCCAGTAGCCCGAGGGAACGAAGGCGCTTGAAGGATGGCTTTGTCAATCGAATGTCGAGTCTGCCAGAACACAAGGGCGAAAGGGAAACCGCGGAACCTATCATCGAGTGTGCAAAGGGGATTCTTTTTGCACTCTTCCAAGTGCAGTCGAATGTTTCCTCTCTGATCAATGTGATCAAACGCGATGATGCTCGGCGCAACAGTCTCGAGATCGTGTTCTACAACGCTTCTACCCACGTTGAACGTCTAAATGAAGCTATAGAGAATGCGGAGCACCATTCTGACGAGGTGGATGCGGTGCGCTTGTCGAATGAGGCCGTCAAAAGGGAATGCGAGACATGCATAATTGCGTACACTCATGTTGGAACGCAACTACGCAATAGCATCGACAAGATAGTTGCCAATGGCGACCCACGCTACTTGCGTTCCTTGATGCTCATGATCTTTGGCAGCGTAGTTGAACTGCGCAACGCCTGTGCGAGCTTGGGCATCCCACTCCAAACCCGCAAGCCGCCCTCTGCGACAAAGCCTTCTATACCTGAAATCAAAGAGTCCGCTAGCTCGGACCGCTTCCTTGGACCAACAGTCACTCCAACCAGAGGGAGGGAGCATTCTTTGTCGACGCGCCGATTGCGAAGTGACACCACAATCCAGCACCCTCAGATCACTACGACTGGACCTTTCCAGGCTGCTCAAAACTACCAGTCCGCTGTCAGTTCGCCTGGCTTTGCTCCGACTCCATTCAGCCTTGGGGCACGAAGCCGGTCGAGTAGCAGGTCTAATCATATCAACACATCCGTACCGTCGTCACTCGCGACCCCTCGTTCAGGCGAGTCATTCCCTCCAATGCCCAGCGCCGTTGTACCTCGAATCAATCCCTTGACAGGCCTAGATGAGATCGAGGAGGAGCGAATCTTTGAAAAGATCTTCTATCAACTTACCTCTGCCTACACCGCTGCCCTCCAAGCGTTGCCTTTGGCGCGCCGTCAACTAGTGCGATGCCATGAGGTAGCGGAGCAGGAACATGAATCTGAGGGCATATTAATGCTATGGAACAATCTGATCCGGCGGTGTCGGATATGCTTAGAAGTATCCGAGGCCCTGGGTCTTCGTCTCTCTAACATGAAGGTAAAAGAGCCTGGTGGCGGAATGCGGAACCAGCGTGAGTTCTGGCAACTCTGCAAGGCGTTTATGCAGTCCTTCGTCGATCTAGTTACCGACATGAGGGAGGTTCGAAGTATGCAGCTTCTCCCGGGTGATATCATTGTCATACTCCGTCCCGTCCAGAGAGCAAGCAGAGAAGCAGGTCGGTTGATCGACGCCTCGCCGTGGTCTTATCTTGCCGATATGGCTCCAAGCAACGCAGCAGCAAACATTTACGGGCCCCCGCTACAATCTCAGCATTCACAGCACCAAAATACCGCATCCAACGCAAGCAGCTTTCATTTGAACTCCGGCGTCTCCCCGCAATCCGTCCATCTCCCGGCGACTCCGCTAAGTGCTGCCCTTGGTCCAGCCGCGCAGGCAACCGTGCCTTCTACCCCCGCAAGTGCGTACAGTGACAAATTCTTCGAAGGGGATGTGTTTCAGAGAGCTGACTCGTTGCTCTCAATGCCCAATCAGGCGCCATTTTTCAGTCGTCGGTGAGACGGTAGCATTTACACCTCTACGAAAGAGGCGGTGTTTCATTATTTGGAGTCTGTGCTGTGGTGATTGGAGTTCTATCGCATATTCTTGTGCTTCCTTTTGTTGCTCCGAGGAGTGGCTGCTCTCTAGACTTTCACCCATGACCTTTGCAGGTACAAAGTACACTCTACTTGGGAGTTATAATTCTTACCAAGACCAGACAGAGAGCCTGGTCGCGTCTGTTTCAGTATGCATACCTGGATTGTATCGTGCGCAGTCGTGATCCGAGTTGAGAATCCTCAAGCTATACACACCCACCCCGTCCTGATTTACATTGTCGATATTCGTTCAGTTCAGCCTTGTTTGTCTGTTTGTTCCTTTAGTTGTTTCTTTATTTGTTCATCATCACCTGTCCGCATTTTATTCTACACTCGGAAACGTCAGGGAGTCGGGGATAAAAGGGACATCTACTACTACCACTACATATCTGGACTTTTTGCGAAGGGAAAAACGGCGTATGGATTCTTTAATTCCCGGGGACAGAAACCTTGCATAGCGTGTCATATTCCTAGCTTCCTTTTTACATTCCCCTTCCTTGCCTTTGATGGATAATGACTAGAGCGAAATGAAAGAATATATTGTGATTTAGTTGCCTGTGTTGGGGTGATACTAGTTAGTAGTCTGTGCTGTCTGTGGATCGGTATTAACCGATATTTGCAAAGAAACATGGTACGTGCTGTATCTATAGAGTAACTACTAATGCCTATGTGATCTAGTTTGATACCTCCACGGGATACGTATGTTGAAAGTTATGCGTGCTTGCAGCAAAGCAAAGGACAAAAGGAGCCCGCAGGTGATGAATTCCAGATACCATGGGTTATCAAGCACCAAACAAGAAATTTCGTGCATATACGAATGAAGTATCCGTGCTTAGATGAGTGAGCAGTATGTATGCAGGTAGTAGTACGTAGGTCAGTAGATAAGCAAACAAATCAAGCAAGCAAACATCATACTTATCTTCGTCTTTCGATGCCAATAATTATGTACTTAGTGCTAGTAACCAGATATCCTGCATTTCCCACAAACAAGACTAGTTATTACTCGCATATGCCGTCGCCTACTGCCTGCACAATGACAGACAGCTGCACATACTTACACACAGACAAGGAAATACAACACACAGACATAGAAATATGAAAGCAGATCTTGTACAATGAATAAATTTCTTACGTATCAAGTATATTTCCCTGATTGTGAGACATTTAATATGAATGCCCCCCTTTATATCTTCAATGCAACCCAGATTTAGTTAGCAAGTTACATTATTGAGATGTACTCCGTACTAATGCGGGGGATAAAAAGACTGCAGAATCTGCACGGACGACGTATTTGGAATGGAATGGAATGGAGGGGACTAAGATTAAGATTGCGACGGTCATCCGGGGATGGAAGAGGGGGGGAATCCAAGCGAGCGAGAGCGTTATAGATGCTGATACGGTTCGATTACCAATGCTGTATCTGCATAACCCAGGGGGTGCGTGGGCTTGGTGAAGGTCCGTGGTACAGATTGTTGATGCGTTCGTTACTTGATTGTTTGCTTGCTTGCCTGCTGCTGAAGAAGAGGAGTGTAGGTAGGGGATGCAGGAGGTCTGTTGCTTCCTGTTATGTGGGGTGTAGGTTGTACAAGATCTGATGGAGAGAGGGGAAAATATGAATAGTATGAAGGAGGATGAAATGCTTGGCTGAGGGGGATGTTTGGTTGGGATGTGTGTCCGAGGTGAGGAGGGAAGAAGGGGCAGGCACAATGATGTCTTTGTGTGTGATTCTGATTTGGCTTGGCTGGGACGATTGGATCCCGCCAAGTGGCGCTCTTGGGACTGAGATAGGCTTTTGTTAGCTTCCTGTGGCATCTAGGATCTTCCAGAATGGTATTTCCTGAAGGAATGCAGCAGAGGTCAACCAATGGTAAGGGGAGCTCGTAGACGAGGTGAGTAGAGTAGATGAAGACTCGGTAATAGTTCGGCAAGTTGTGAGCTTTCGCTATACACATAACAAGAATTCTTATTGTTCGTCATGAATAGATGTGAGATGGAGTGATCAGTCAATATCTAGCCAGCATTGTTGCAATTACACTTCTCTGGTCATTGTACTTTGTAAATGATTGAGAGCTTTGTCAATTTCTGCGGCATGTATTACGAAATGTAGAGTGGGCATTGATCCTGCAGCGATTGGAGGGGAAGGGGGGGGAAGAGGGCAATGAGCAAAGATACGACCAATCGATTGGCATATGCGCTCTAAGAATCGATGTCTTTCTGCTCGTATACTGCCCGGATATTGTTTCCAGCCAGCCTTGGGCGGAAGATATCGATCTTATCCTGTCAACCATGGTAGTCGTAATGGGAATAGCCGTAGTACGCTAGTCGCGAAAGAAGTGACAGGCACTGACAGGCACTTTCTCAATGCCTAGACTACTTCCTGTATACGTGCTGGGATTGATTAATTGAAGTAGCAGCAGAAGCAAAGCATCCTGCAGACCCCTCGATGCTGCATAGGGCACGGGGCACAGGGCTAGGGCCGATGGTGCTGTCACGGGATCGAACATTGTCTCCAAGCCAGAAAAGCTCCTTCCCAATCATCGATCATCCATGTCTTCATCGAGTGGCGCCGTCGCATCGCATCAATCCAGCGGCATCTCGTTTGTACTCGTCTTCGCTCCCCCTCGGTTTCGCGGCTGCCTGTCGTCGGGTTGGAAGCATCACTTTTTCGGATCATCAGCTCAGATGATGCAGCAAGCGTCGCGACTACGGGCCGAACAACCCCACTGAAAAGTCGGTGTCGTTGGGAAAAAGGAAGCCAGCCAGAGAGCAAGAAAAAGCCATAGGCGTCATCCATCCCCTGTCACTATCTACCACCACCACTCATTCCATCCCGCCTTGACATTGATAATTCCCAGGCGCGGACGGAGAGAAGCGGCATTGCCTCCCCGCCCCGCCTCAACAAGATCAAAGTAGAAAAACAAACTCACTAGAAACGGAGCCAATGAGGGTGCAGGACCGAGCATACTTCTCAGCTTGTCGCCTGCAGGTTGCGATGGAGAAATGGGTCTGAACCATCACCGCTCTTTATACCGGCTTGCTTGCAAACGGGCTTGGCTTTCCAATTGCCGCCTCTCCGACCAGCTCCGGAATAATGAGGCGAGTTTGCGTTGGAGGGTCAAATCCATCGTGATCGGTGCACTACTAAAGTGAGGCGCCAAGCGCACGCAAGACCGCCGGCAGTCAAGCCCCTTTATTCGTGCGCGGCCTTGGATAATGATCCAGCCACATTGTCTGCTCCCCCTCCGTTTTGGTCGACTGCTTCCCTCCGTGTATCCACCCCCTGGCACCTCTTTTAAGATTCTACCCTTCAGCAGTCTCCGAGCTTAAATAATAATCTTACGATGTCGATCGATGGTTCCATCCCACAAAGTACATACGGAGCGGTCGGAGTCAATAGTCCATTCTTCATCCCGCGTGTGAGCCCACTTGCAGGGGGGGGGGAAGCCCGGCCGGATTCTGATATTGAGGTTAAGACTGGGGAGGTGTGGTCCAGGGCTGTCGCTGACTCGGGTTGGCCTACCGATGCCACCACGCGTGTGTGAGATCCACTCCGACCGAGACTCTTGAGTGGGTTTCTCTATCTATCAATCTGCTAGGGGCGGGTGGATCGGTTAACATCCCCCATGTCCCACCCTAAGGGAGAAAGTGTGGAAAACAATGGAGGCAAGAAACCATGATCACGGCTCTTGGTTTAACCACTTCCCCTCTAGCACCACCCCTGTTGCCCCTACAACGGGAGACGGCAATGGTGAAGGAATAGGGGTCTGTAGCGCAATCTTTCCGTCGGCGGTCACCGAAAGGAATACTCTATCGCAGTTCTTGAATGTCGGTGGACCAAAACGGAATTCAGTCGGAAACTATCATTGTCAATCCCAGACACGATAGAACGAAGTAGGTGATGAGTCCTACGACCGGGCTTTAAGGTTTCAATGGAGCATTTTCCAGTGATTTGATCGCAAACAGACCAACGGAAGAATCTTCTTCGGAGAGGCAGCATCACTGTACAGTAGGGGCCCTAGAGGCGCGCAGACCACAGGGACAATTAATCTGTACCTGGCAGGGTACAGGCGACTAGAATGTACCATTCACAACACGAGGCCAATGTGGATGGCATGACGGGGATGGCCTTGTCCAGCAATGGTCGGTGTCGCATAGAGCCGTTGGCGGACTGTTTCCCGCTTTGGGAGAAAGGCCACTAAGAGTAATCAGGACGGAGGAAGGAATTGGAATGATCTGATCGGAGCGGACATGGATGTCCTGACAGAGTTATATCCCGATCTTCTTCAGTATGTTGACAATGACGAAGACAGTCCGTCGCAAAGAATAGCTTCGGGGGGGTACTTCTGGATGCATCAAGGGCTGGAATGCCCGGATGCCCCCTGCTTTGCCCTGGTTTCTACTACTCCCAGGGCAAAAGGTAAACTGGGAATCAAAAAGAAGAAAAAGCAAAAAAGGCAAAAAGAAGGAAAGAAAAAGGGAGAAAAACAAAAAAAAAGTATGAATTAAAAAAAAGGAGGAGAAAAAGCAATACACCCTTAACATGAGAAACCGGATCAAGATGGACCCGTGGCCCAAATTGATCTGAACACCGGGGACGGCAGGCTGCATCATCCCTCTGGCTGTCTGCACATTATTCAAGTGGGAATACACCGATTGCCCTCTGGGTACAGAGGTGCATGTATACTCCGTGCTTTGTGTCCGGCCCCTTCTGCACCATGACCTAAATTATTTTGTTTCTTTTTCGACGATCTCCCCGTCTTCCTCCTGGCCGAATATATCCTACCTGACCAAAGGAATTGGTGGCGCCTGTCGCTGAACGCATGATTGGGATTTTGGGGGGGACGGCCTCCCTATCACATCGGCGCCGGTGGTAAGGGACAGTCAGGACCGGATTCACTCCCACAATGGCCGGGTACCAGCATTGGCACCGGCACACGCCCGGGCTTTGAGATCGTACACGATACCGGGGGTGTTGCTGAGGAATGCTGCTGGGGGCGGAGGGGAAGGGAGGGGGGTGGGAGAAAGAGTTAAAACAAATAAAAAAAAAATATTGGCAAAAAGCCAGCAGGGATTGCTGGTGGTGAGATTTGAGTTTCCCTCTGCGCCTTCGCGCGGCCGTTAAGGAATGAACGAACGGATCAGGATCAGAAGCAGGCTCACGGCGCAGCAGTGATCCCATCCCATCCGATCCTCATCTGATCCCATCCTTTTACCCACTCGCCTGCCAGAGCGAACCCAGTTAAGAAAAGGGAAACCCCCTCCCAAGCATCCCACGTCATCCACTATGTGACTAGGGATCGCTGGACCGACTCGCTGAACGTTTCCAAAATTCCCTTTCCCTCGGTGCCCGTTCCCAGGTGCGAAACAGCGCCCCGGAAAGTTCGTAGCTGCTGCAAGCGTCTAGATTAGATCAGCCTCACTTTTCGCAGCGCTCCTGCAAAAGGCAGTGGGTGCCTCTGACTAGTCAGTCGCATGCTGGCTGTCTTCTAACCTTTCTTTCTCTCTCTCTCTGTCTCGCTCTTGCTCTTGCTCTCTCTGTCTTTTTCCCTTCTCTGTCCCTACTATCTACTGCGATGCTACTGCGCCGCACTCTTTCCTTTTAGTTCTCCCTCCGGTGGCTCGTGTGTCCAACCTGCTACGGGCTTGTAATCCCTCCTTCCTTAAATCTTGATTGCGTGCAGGGCCATCCTTCTCCTCAGGCTCCGGACAACCGTTACTACTTACTACTAAGTACTCCCTACTTAGCAATAGGAGTATACTTACTACTGGACCTGCATGCCTGTTTCCCCGCATCATCATTGGCTATATCAACACACCTGATATCCCGGTCTCTTTGTCAACCTGGTTGGACCCGATTTGTCAGAGCAATATTGTCTACTGCTTCTCTGGTCGGCATTGAACTTCACTCTGCCACCTACCTTTGTTTGCTACGGTGATCCTCTTTTTTGTTGTTGTCGCGTAGCCATTGGACCTTGTTCCTTTCCATATATCTTTGCTGCCTGCGACGGTTTTCAACCCAGTTTCATCTGGTGTCCGGCCGTGCTTGCTGACTTGGCAAGGAGACGCAGATAAGGGAGAAAAAGAGGTGAACAAAAATAAAGAGGAAGAAGAAAGGGTAAAAAAGAAGGGAAAAAAAGGAAACTGGAATTCCGATTCGCAAAACAAGGAAATTGGCCCCAATCCCGAAAGGTTCACCTAGGGTCTTACTACTATCGAAACACTATTTTGACAAGCCCGGCGTCCACGATTGCCCGTTTTATGATCGGCATTGGCGATCGACGTCGTTGACTAACCTCGGGTGCGTACTATTTCTCCCTCCCTCACCTGGGTTCCTGTCGACCGCAGGCAAGGACTGTTCGCAGGGTCGCTGCGAAGGGATCCCATCCGAACCCGCCGTCGAGTATAGGGCTTGCGGTGCCTTGCGTCCTATCGCCCAGGAAATGCCCGTGACCCCCACGTTCTAATCGCTGTCTCCAGATTTCCTCTATCCATTCTTCCGAGTCTACCCCAGACCGTCTCTCTTCCTAGACTGGTGCAGTTTCTCGTACCTCGTCTGCTCCGAACCCTTTCCGGGCGTTGGCAAGATCGGATGGAGATGGACTTTCAAAAAACGAAGGAGGCCCGGCGAGATACGCCGAGCAAGAAGGAAGAAAACTCCGAATGCCCCCTGGAAGCCTATGGAGGCAGTGGTCATGCGAAGGACTCGCCCAAGAATGACTCTCTGGACCACCATCGCGATGCGAAGAGCACTCCGGACTCCGCGAATATGCACCAGCGACGCCAGCCGGGTAAATATACCTACCACGACGGTGTAGCCCCAACATTCCCTTCGCCTATCCAGGTGGCAACCCGGGTTCTGGCGCCTTCTGCACGGGCAATGCACATTCCCCCTGCCCTGCCACTCAGCTTGGAACAACATCAACGGTTACTAGCTGCTAAAAGGTACCCGCCAGTGACCAAGAGCACGCTGAGTGAACTGGACTTACCTTGTATTATGAGCAACATCAACCTCCGGATGGACGCCAACTTTGACCGTGATCTACACTTCAAACCTGACCTGCAGGGAGAAAAGGGCGAACGGAAACGAAAGGAGGCCCACGACTACTGGGAGGCTATGGCTGATGAGATCACTATATACGCATTCGGTGCCGCACATGAGACGAACGAGACAGGCAATGTAGGAGTCTCGGATAATCTATCGCGGACCTTTGAGCCGCGGCTACCAGCCATGTTCGAGACCTTGCAAGACGTCCTGAAAACGCTTGTCCCTGAGCGTGACCATCCGGCTGTGGTACAAAACCTTGAGGTAACACTCCTGATGCAGCAAATCCAGAAGGGTGTACTTGACATGGTGGGCGTGGCAAGCTGGCTGGCGGCCCTGCTCAAAACGCACTGCGCTCCTATGCGCGATGAATGGGCGGATAAGATGGTCAAGCAGATACGGTCAGGGTCAGAGTCGCAAAACTCGCACCAAATCGTCGAGGGACTCAAAACGCTGTTCGCAATCTTGGAAGCGATGAAACTGGTAAGGCTTGGGCATGCTGGCCCCGGCGGCCACGCATATTGGATGGGAATGCTAATGTGCCTCTAGGATGTTGCCAATCACCAAATCCGTGCATTCCGCGTATTGCTCATCGAAGACACCGTTCCGTTCCTACAAGAGTATTTCCGAGGCAAGATCGAGAGGGACAATTTTTGTGTGGAGACATCGCGACGGTGGTATTTGGACCTCCGCGACCGCGAGTTGCGCCGCATGTCGAAGCCTGCACAGATGGACGGGTTCTGGCCTATCTCCCTCTTGTTTGGTGGTATCACCGACTTTCTTCTGCAGTACCGGCGACCGGACAAGTTCCCCGAAACGTTCGTTTTCGATTCGGACCGGCTGCGGCAGCTGCGGTCTTGTCTTCAAAAGCTGATCAACCTCGATATCTGTTGGTTCATCTTCGAGTCGTACATCAACGCACAGAAACGGTATCTTTCGGCGCCCGCGCAGACATACGCTACCTTTCGCACCCGTATTGGATCATTGATGGAAGAAAACGAGGACTACCCTCGAGGGGATGCTCGGTGGCTGAAAAGTGTGCGAAGCATTGCGCTGGAGATTGCGAGATTCGCATGCGCCGCATGCTTTCAGGACGGATCGGTCTCGGATGATGTCATTGTGCAAATCGAAATGGCACTGGAATGCCACCTCTCGAGCCCATCCAACTTGTTCCAGTATTTCCAGAGCTCTCTTCGCGAGAAGCTGCTAGCGGCAACGTTTACGACGGCGAAGAAGTACATGAGCATGTCGCCCTTGGCCATCTGCGAATCGCAGCGCAACTATCCGCCCTCGACACTGACACAGCAGCACTATGATATCGAGCGAATCGCCATGCGCCTTGCACACATGGGCGTGCTACACTGGAACGTCTGGGCGCCGATTCTATACATGCGCGAGAGTGTGTCACCGGTTGACGTGGCGAACAACACGAGAACGGTCACTGACGTGGCGCGCTCGTCCACCCTGTGATTCAATCGCCTTGTTTCATTTGCTTTGAAGTTTTTTCTTCTGATGTACTCTTGGATTTGGGATTACCAAGCGGAGTTTTGATCTTGGATTATTGATTGCAGTTCAGCGAGTTTCATGCATGGTTTTCAGTTTTTTTTTAATGGTCTGGCGTCCACGTGGGGAAGGGCATACATATATACTACTTCATACTGTTTAATGGGCCTGGTGTTAGGTTTCGGGCATTCGAAGGAAAACGGAGGATAGAGATGTGCGATATGCAAAGAATGGTGGGATGCTTTTTGGCAACTTGGCAATTTATGGTTACTCAACATGTATTACTCCTAGATAAAATGTAGAGGTTTGATGCTGATAGTTATGCTGATATTCATATGCATTGAATAATACAGGTTATGTAAGCTATTCTTCATAAACCTACTGGCACCTCAAACACTAGTTAATTACGGAGTAGAGCATAGATATAGATTTAACATCAACATCATCTACATCGTTCCATTATTTGATATTATCCATTGGTCTACCCTCACCACTATACCCACAACAGACTCAATGAAACAATAATTCTTGGACAGATATCTTCATTCTATCCTATTATTTCGTATATTTATATATATACCACGCTGTCGAATATATCCAACTATTACTACACCGAAGTGATCATCAACAGCACAAGCAAGTTACTAGCAACAACTCCATGAATACTAGCTACTGCTATACCAGAAGCTAGACTAAACCACATGATCAGATAGAAAGAAAGAGAGAAAATTACAAGAATGAAATACCCCTGGCTCCGCCCCCTCAAAGCAAAAGCCTTGCAACAAATAGCCCAGAAGACGGGGATTCAAAGCTCAGGCACCAAGGCTGTGTTGGTGGAGAGGTTAGGAGGGGAACTTACTCCTCTCTTCCCTCATATTCAGAATGACAGAGGGAAGCTGAACGAATATAAGAACGAAAAGAGAAGGAATAATGATGATAATGATGGGATAAGAGTCCTAAGCATCGATATGGGGATTCGGAATCTGGCTTTTGCGGTGTTGCATTCTCCTTATCCTTCCTCCTCCTCATCCTCCACCTCCTCTTCTTCTTCGGTATCATTATCATCTACTGGATCATCTGAGGCATATACACCCAGAGACAAAGCCAAGGAAGGGAATAGCATAACCCTCACCGCGTGGAAAAGACTCTCCATTCCTGATCTTTGCTATGCGCAACATGAAGGAACCCCATCCCTCATCACCGCCACTACCAAACCCAAGTCACAAGTCACAGAAGAAGCTAAAGAAGACTTTTCCCCCTCCCTCTACGCCCGCCACGCATACACCCTCATCACGACCCTCCTGTCCACGTATAACCCCACCCACATCCTGATCGAAAGACAGCGGTTC